AGACTCAACACTACCTATAGACTCAACACTGCCCATAGACTAACACTACCCATAGACTCAACACTGCCCATAGACTCAACACTGCCCATAGACTCATCACTACCCATAGACTCATCACTACCCACAGACTCAACACTGCGCATAGACTCATCACTGCCCATAGACTCATCACTGCCCATAGACTGATCACTGCCCATAGACTCATCACTACCCATAGACTCATCACTACCTATAGACTCAACACTGCCCATAGACTCAACACTGCCCATAGACTCAACACTACCCATAGTCTCATCACTACCCATAGACTCATCACTACCCATAGACTCATCACTACCCATAGACTCAACACTGCCCATAGACTCATCACTACCCATGGACTCATCACTACCCATAGACTCAACACTACTCATAGACTCAACACTACTCATAGACTCAACACTACTCATAGACTCAACACTACCCATAGACTCAACACCGCCCATAGACTCAACACTGCCCATAGTCTCAACACTACCCATAGTCTCAACACTACCCATAGACTCAACACTGCCCATACACTCATCACTACCCATAGACTCATCACTACCCATAGACTCAACACTACCTATAGACTCAACACTGCCCATAGACTAACACTACCCATAGACTCAACACTGCCCATAGACTCAACACTGCCCATAGACTCATCACTACCCATAGATTCATCACTACCCACAGACTCAACACTGCCCACAGACTCAACACTGCCCATAGACTCATCACTGCCCATAGACTCATCACTGCCCATAGACTCATCACTACCCATAGACTCATCACTACCCACAGACTCAACACTGCGCATAGACTCATCACTGCCCATAGACTCATCACTGCCCATAGACTCATCACTGCCCATAGACTCAACACTGCCCATAGACTTATCACTACCCATGGACTCATCACTACCCATAGACTCAACACTACCCATAGACTCAACACTACCCATAGACTCATCACTACCCATAGACTCAACACTGCCCATAGACTCAACACTCCACCTCAGATTAGCACAGTTGGCTACGTACGGTTCGAAAGAATATCAACATATCTGTCCCTTGGATTTAATGTTTTTTATCCTCCGTATGAAGGGACCGATATGTGTGGGAGGTATATTTGCCCGCTCGTGCATTTTGCCACCTTTTCATTGCCACTGCTGGCAACAATGGTTTGCGATCCAATTGCCAATTTAACCATCGCCATGCGCTCGTATTCACGACCAGCCAAGTGGCTACCCTGTGGGGGGAGGGGAGGGGGGGGGGGGGGCTTTTGTGCATCCGCGCCATCCATCGCAGCGGCCCCTGACTCTGCACGCTCGGAAGTAAGAGCCACGTTTAAACTAAAACAATTAAACGATTGTATTTTACCAGGTAAGGCACTACTGAGCTATACACCTCTTTTTCAGAAGCGACCTGGCTATCGCAAATGTTAGCTCAACCGAAGCGGCTTCATCACGTGGACATTTCTAGCAGCCAAATACTCTAAACGCACGTTTCTAAGACAAGAGGGAGCTTCACTGCATTGGTTTATCCAGAATGAACAAAGCGGCTTACCACGTGGAAATGTATTGCAGCCAAATACTGTTAAGCGCGCGATGTTGATTCTAAATTAGAAGAACCGGAGGCCCCGGAGAAAAATCCACGTGACCACGTGGAGAGAGCGAGAGACGGCAAGCTTCAGGGTCGTTCCCACGACCTCCTGTATACCAAGCGAGGTAGTTAACATCTCCTAGACACCGTGGTGTTTTTGTTGCAAGTGCTGTGCCCCCGTAGTTTCTTTTCCAGGCCACCTACAAAAGAGTATTCATCCTGATCCGGCTATTACCGCACACGCTGACCGCCTCGGCGCACACACGCGCGCTCGCTCGCTCATTAGCGGCAAGTTGAACAATTGCCCCAAAGTGTGTGCCGCACACAAAACTTGCGGTTCCAGTGCTTCCAGGCATACACCCCGTACACTGTGGGCTGCCAAGTGCCTCTCTGGAAGGAAGGCCTGATGCCGACAGATTCAGCTGCGTTATGCAAGTGGGACAGCCGTATTTTTAAAACTTTTTTTTAATGTTTTATCTCGTTGCCTAAACGGTTTTGTTGGCCGTACACTTTCAGCTTCCGAGCTGGTGTTGGTGGTCTAGACGAGGCTGAGAGTGTTGTACGTGCAATGCGGTGGTCACGTGACGCGCACAAAAGGCATGGTGTGGGAGTCGTGCCTTCGCGCTGTTTGTGAGTGGCCACACCTTTGTGTGCTGTTAAATAAAATAAAAAACCCGGAGAAAAATCCACGCGACCACGGGGAGAACATGCGAACTCCGAATATACAGCAGGCTTCAGGGTCGGGATCGTTCCCACGACCTGCTGTATGTCAGGCGAGGTAGTTAACATCTCACCACCGTGGCACCCCCCCATCGTCTTGTCACTGCTTCCTAGATGCTTGACTGGTCTCGCCCATTCCACCTGCTGTCCCTCCGTTGTGATGTTTTACCGACCTCTCCCTTCTCCTGCGACTCTCACAACTTGTTCCTGTGCATTCCTCTTTCTGTAACCATTCGCCCGCCCGTTCAAATTCTCTGCCGACTCGTGTAGCTCCTCACCGGAGCTGGCATTAGGGGGTTTTGTCGTCACGTTTCAAGTTCCAGTCGATTTGTTTTAACCAGGTGAGAACTCGAGAGACTTCGATGGAGCCTCATCTTTTCAAAGGGTCCACCCGGGTTTGCCAAAATGCCAAAAAAGCAAAACGGATCAAATAAAGTTCAGTGATGAAGCAAAATAGAAGTCGGGGGGAAAAAAAACAAACGGTGTCACATGAGACGTGGAGAATATTCCACGAACATAAATCGGCGTTCAGTAGTAATAGATTCCCTGCAGCGCAAGGCGACTCGGGCAGATTATTTTCAAGACCGATCGTGGCACAATTACAGATACAGGGTGACCGTTGCACCAGATTGTAGACAGATAAGAACACACGAGCCGAACGCAATTGCACGTGACGTTATCGTAAAACGGTCGACGGCATTTGGCAACGCAACAAAACACACACACACACACACACGACTGAATTTTAGCCTCCGACCCCGACTCTCGCTCTCCTCCAGCTTCGTCCAGGATTCTCTTGTCATCGCCTCGGGGATGTCGCGAGCATTCCCATCTCAGGCCATTTAATAATAATCTACCCTACCTCTCAACAGACCGAACTCTCTCAACACTTGTGCTTGTCGCGCACTGCTGCACTGCTGCACTGCTGCACTGCTGCACTGCTGCACTGCTGCACTGCTGCACTGCTGCACTGCTGCACTGCTGCACTGCTGCATTGCTGCACACCTTGTTCTGTCGTGCACGGAGGCCACTCAACTCGCCAAAACGCCGTGTCGCCAGATTGCTTCAGCCGTCTCTTTCCTCTGCCGTCGCGCCGTCTTTGTCGTCACGGTTTTTTTTTGTTTTTGTTACATTGCCCGAGAAAGGGACGTCGTCCGCTACCCTTCGCTGTGGATGAAGTGTCACGTCCATAGGCCACCCGTGGGCCTGTGATTGTCAACAAGGGGCGATAACACAGGGCAGCTGATTGCAGTGACGTCCCACTGAAATTAGGCCTCGTTGTGTAGCATATCTCGCGGTGAACATTTACGCTTGCCGCATGAACCACAATGCCTTCTCTCGTCAAGGAGCGTAAACCACCATCATGCGAACTCTGATCATCCTCGCAGCGGCTTTTGGCTCGCCATCGAACAAAGATGGTCATCGCATCGCGCGCTTTCAAATGCGCTTCTGCAGCCATCTGGAACGCTCTTCCTTCCAATGTTAGGAAGCCACCGAAGCTACGCACTTTTACATCTGAATTAAAAACTCATTTCTTGAGAACTGCTTTTTGCATTTAGTTTGTCCTTCGCCCACACCTCCGATTAGCACGGTTGGCTACGTACGGTGCGAATGAAGTTCAATGTGCATCTGTCGGTGCATCTTTGTCGCTGCTATCGAGGAACCGTTCTTGTTTAGTCGTCGTTTTACTGTCACATTTTCATCGCTGCGAAATGTATATTTTTCTATTTTAATAATCAAAATAATGTACTCCAACATAATCTGAAGCCTTTTGTGAATCGACGGCTGGCCTAGCTGACAGCCTCTCTATGCCGTGTCAGTCACGGGAGTTATTTAGACCTTCACCTCACCGGATCGTGTGAGTTGAATTCAAGGGGCAGTTTGAGCAGGACCAGTTCAGATACCGCTCACGACTGATGTTAGCTGCGGGTAGGAATTAAACTTGGGTTGCAACGATTGCAGTGGAGTGCATTAACCAGCACTCTTAAAATCCTCGAATTGTCAATTTTAATAACCGCCAAACCGCTCATTTCATTGAGGGAAAACACGAGTAACAGTGAACCTCTTTGTTACTACGACGCCATGATGTGCTACTTTTTTACTCAGGCTACTTGAAGAAAACTTATTCCTCTAAACCGTTTCATGACCCATTCCGGGGCCCACATGTTGTGTCCGCGGCTGGTAGAATGTTTCCTGGCCCCGAGGAGGGGGCGATGAGGTAATGGTGGCATTACAGTACGTGCTTTGAAATGAAATCAGGGCAAGTGAAAAGTAGGTCACGCTTCCCTGGTGCATTTGAGTGGAATTGCGATTGTGCTCGCTCGCTCGTTCGGTCGCTCGCCTGCCCTCTCGCCCGCTCTCCCGCTCGCTCACTCATCTGCTCTTGCAAATGCTCTTGCAAATGAGTCCATCCTTGGCCTCTTGAGTTCTCACCTGGTTGAACAAATAGACCAGTGGATCAGCAAAGGGCTCGAACATTAATTCGATGTTCACACATGAAGACTGCGTCGTAGTTCTGCGGAGTCAATGCGCGCTGTCTTCTCGTAGGTGTGGGCGAGCGTAGGGTGGTTGTTGGGGGCGAGTGGGGTGAGCCGCGTGGATCGAGGTGGATCGGCCGAATTTTTCCTTGATGCAGACGATCGTGCGGCCCAGCGCAGGACTGGAGGTGACGGTGGACTTCCTCACGGAGGTGGACAAGCTGGTGCAACTCATAGAGAGCCCCATCTTCACATGTGAGAGGCCCGCCCCAACGGGCAAAAACAAACCCCAAGTCACACCTGGTGACGATTCCACAACGGTGGATTCCCCAAAACTGCACCACAGCCTGCCACCAAACCTAAATATTTGTTTTATTTTACTAGGTAAGGCCGACAGAGCTCCTATTATGGCTCTTTTTCAGAAGCAACCTGGCCACAAATGATAGCTCGACTAAAGTGGATTGTCATCACGTGGAAATTTCTAGGGGCCAATTACTCTAAAACACGTGACATTGATTCTAAATGTGGAGGAGAAAACCGGGGGACCCGGAAAAAAAAATCCACGCTTCCACGGGGAGAGAGAGAGACACACACACAAACTCCAAATATAAGGCATCGCCATGGTCGGGTTTGAACCCATGACCTGCATACCAGGGGAGGTCGTTAACATCAGGAGAGGATTTGGTGGTCAGACAACTGAGTGCTATTATTGTAGTTTGTCCTCCTAGTTAAACTGGTGGCCAGCCATGGCAACGGCGAACAAGCCTCAGAAAATACCATATGATGGACCACGAGAATCTCAATCCTCTCTTGGAGCTTTGACAGCCTCATTTCCTTTCAAGCAGCTCACGAGTCAAATAAATAAAGCCCCCCCCCCCCCCCCCCCCCCCCCCGCGCCGTATTGCCACTAAATCCGTTAAGCTCGGTCGCTGCGTTTTCGCCTATCTCCATATTTTTGGGCGCCACGCATTTTCTCGTCAACCGGTCCTGGGAGCCTCTCATTGGGTCCGCCGCTGAAGATTTCCACGGGGAAGCTCCCTTCGTTTTGGGCCGACAAGTTGTTCACCTCGCGTGCAGTCCCAAGTGTGCGACTTTTCTTTGTTAATTGATGTTGGCAAGTCCACCCTGGGGTCTGTATCACTCGTCCTGACGTCTCCCAAGGATCGTGGCTTATCAGGGCCAGCGAATCTCGCTGGCTTAATCCCACCCCTCCCCCCCCCCCCCCCCCGATTCCACACCTCATCCGTACTTTGCAAAAGGCAACTTTCCCGCTTGCACCACCGCTGGAGGGAAGGGGTCCTCCCACTAAAGAGCCGGAGCCCCCTCTATAGGTTGTTTTGGACGATTCTTCAAATCTCGCCCAGACCTCCTTCGAAAGAGGCTTTCGGGGGGGCACACTCCACACTTTACCCCACCACACACGGGCCGGGGCCAATCGACGAGAAATCCTGGCGGTGCGAACGCCCACCATCGGGGGGTTGTCCAACGGCCGGGGAGCGAGGTTGTGAATATTAACGCTCGCTTTTTTGTTGTTTTGTTTGTTACCGTTTCGTTTGTTGTGCCACAGCCAACTCGAGCCCATGCCACAGCCAACTCGGAGCCCATGGTCATTGTTGCATAGGGCGATGGAGTACTCATTCTCCTCACAGATGCCCGATTTCTTATGAGCGCTCTCAAATGAATAGAAGCATCCTTCGTTTCACTTCATAATGGGAGGAGGAAGAAGAGAAAAAAAACCCCAGGGGTTGTGTGCTCTCCCATAAAAATTGCACAAACAAATGCTCATCTCTGCTGGGCAATAATTATCACGCCGGCGTTAACAGAGTGGGGGCGGCGGATCCTGGGGAATGCAATTAGTGGCGGACGTGGGGGGGGGGGGCAGTCAGCAATTGTTTGCACCCCGAGTACCCCGGTCCCTTTTATTCCCCTCGCAACAATAACTTGCTGGATTGAATGACTTTCATTCATAACCTTGCAATTCATTCATGCTGTAACCAGCAAAAAAAATACACATCGCAAATCCACTGCTGGGCTGATAGGCCTTGGCAGGGCGGGCGGGCGGGGGGGGGGGGTAGTTATTTGATGACACTTGGCCCAACGTTGGTCAGTGCAGTGTCGGCTGAATGTTACTGACCAGCATCGACCAATGGAACTGAACTGAAGATCGAGAACCAGAGAGGAGGATGAGGTTGTTATTAGACAGCTGGTGGGGGTCTTCAGCAGCCGGCACTTAAAAGTATCCCAACGACTGCGAGTTCCTGACCTCTCCAAGGGGGGGTGGGGGGCAGGGAATTCCAGAGCCTTGGCAACATACGGCCGATGGCCGAAGCCTGGAGCGCAGTTATATTGAGTTACGGGGGGGGCAGGGGGGGGGGGGGGTCGGGCCGGGCATCATCGGTTGATCTCAGAGATGTTAAATAAATCCGAAGACAAACGCTTGTTGGGAATAAATTAATTACGCCCGCTTTTTTTTTCTTCTTTGTTCTCTCCGTCTTGAAAAACAGACCTCCGGCTTCAGCTGCTGGACGTGGAGAGCCACCCGTACCTCATCAAGGCCCTGTACGGCCTGCTGATGCTGCTGCCGCAGAGCAGCGCCTTCACCCTGCTGCGCCAGCGCCTGGCCTGTGTGCCGGACCCGCAGCTCATGGTCGCGGAGTGAGTAGCGCGCAGGCGCCCGCCGCGACCCAACGCGCGCTCGTGCACCGTCGCAGCCCCGTTCGCCAGCTTGCCCGCGGAGGGATCGCGGTTCGAGAAGTCCAAAAATATCACGCAAATATTCGTCCGTTCGTTCGTTGTTCGTTCGTCACGCCGAGTCAGCGAAGGACCCGTCGCGCCAAACACGTGACCCTCTTGCGACGGCATTCGCATAAACTGAAACGTCAATCGCGGTTAAATATTTAAAATTCCCCCACAGCGTAAGTCTGCTCGGCGAGATTATTTTTAGACCGATGACATTACGATTACAATATTAAGTTGCAGGAACGTTCAACGGATATTGGGTGACCATTGCACAAGTGTGTAAACGGGCAAGGTGGTTTAAAGCCGTTGGCCAAAAATATTAAGGGTCTCTGAATACTCGTTGGTGACGGAGCGATGTCAGTGACACCATGGTAGTGAGATGTTAACTACCTCGCCTGGTATACAGGAGGTCGTGGGTTCGATCCCAATCCTGTGACACCTGTATATTTGGAGTCTTCATGTTCTCCCCGTGGTCGCTTGGATTTTTTTGTCGGGGTACGTAGGGTTTTTCCCTCCGCATTTCGAAACATGCGTTTCTGAGTATGTGGCTGCTATAAATTTCCACGCGATTATCCACTTCGTTGAGCTATCCTTTGTGGCCAGGTCGTTTCTGAAAAAGAGTTGGAAAGTTCAGGGGGGCCTTACCTGGTAAAATAAAAAATAAAAATGTAGTTGACGGTGTAGTTTAACTTTGCGTGCGGCCACTGCGGCTCGCGAGGACGCGTCCCCGATACGCGCCGATGAGGCGCCCTTCAACGTCCGATGTTAGGAAGCTACTGGGGAGCTGTGTGCACTTTTACATCATCGAGATTGACAACGGATTTCTTCAGAACTGCCTTTTGTGTTTAGTTTGTTGTCCTTCCCCCGCACCTCTGATTAGCGCAGTTGGCTAGGTACGGTGCGAAATAATTTCAACGTACATGCTACGTTACACTATACTGAACACGCTATGCTATACACTACACGAGATTGACAACGCATTTATTCATAACCGCTTTTTGTGTTTTGTTTGTTGTCTTTCCCCCCCGTTCTCTCCCGTCCGTAAAAGGCGCCGGGAGGGCATGGACGCGCAGAAGAATTCTACGGAGCACCAGGAGCTGCTGCGCAACTTCGAGCAGATGCAGGTCCGGCACCAGCAGGCCAAGCGGCAGCGGCAGGGCCCGGAGCAACGCTTCGCTTGAGCGGGGGGGGGGGTGCCCCCCCCCCCACGCGGAAATAAAATCTTTAAACGACGACGAGACTGGAAAACCGGCGAACGAAGCCACCACCATTCCATTAGTGACAGAGCGGACAGCGATCCCGTCTAGCGATTTAAGTATGCGGTGTAGAACAAACGTGCTACGTGTCCATACTATACCAAGAAACCGAATACCCTTGCTAGGATAAGGACATTATTACAACACAACTGCATTATCGCAGTGTTAAGTTGGTGTGTGTGTGTGCGTGCGTGCGTGCGTATACGGGGAGTGGTAGTCCCGCGGTTAGCGCACCGCGCTATGAACCCGGCTACCCAGGTTCGATTCCCGCTCGCGGTCCACATCGGTGACGATTATCTGAACCCGTCCTGGGCCTCCCCTAGGTCGACCCAGCCTCATATGAGTACCTGGTGCGGTGTGTAGTAAACATCGCCACTAAAGGAGACGAAAGCGGCCTGTCGTGGTGCTGGCCACCCACCCCCTCGTGTGCCGTGCCGGCCTTCACAGGTGCTGCTCGCTAATAGCACTTGCCCCGACAGTCTGTTACGGGGGCAGGGTTGGGGGGGAGATGTTTGTCTTTGTGTGTGCTAAGTTTGTTGATGCACCGCTGTGTTTCTGGCAATGCGGAGTGGGATTCTGCGCTACTGTAACTTGACATGGGTGGCACGGGAGCCAACCCCCACCGACCCCCTCCATATGTCATATGTGCCGTAAAGTTGCTCTGCCCGCGTGGGTATAAACGAATCTCGACGTGTGTACAAATGAAGCCATCCGCACACTTTAATGCACGTGACCTGCGCTAAGACCCGCGCTTTCGCGAGCAGGGCGGCGCGATGGGTCCGCGAGCGCGTCCCAAACGTGCGCGTGTAAATATTCTCTAAACGTGCGAAGTTTAACGGGGAGAGGGTAACAGCGTTAACGGGCGGGGGCTGACATGTACACGCGTGCAGGTCTCTGCAAGCCTGTGTTGTGTAATCACCGCGTCGCTACTCTTGCTCTGCGTGGGTGCAGAGATGGCGGCCGTGCGTGTCGTCGTCGTTCGTCATCGTCGCCGCCTTTTGAGACGGCATCTCGATTTGGACGAGGGTGTTTGTTGTAATTTAATAAATCGTTTTCCTGCTCTTTAAGGCCACACGGCATTCCTTGGACGAGTTCAAGTCGATTGTGGTGTGGTGAAAACGCGGGGCCCAGTTGCATTGAACATCACATGTGCTTTGTTTTCCCGTAACTTGCATTGCTGCAAGCGATAATTAGAGGTGAAATTTCACTTACGGCTTGTTATTTAGCCGAGCACCATTGTAATTTTTCCCTTCTTTCTAAACCCAGTGAGAGATGCTGGTTTTGATGAATCATAACATACCAACCACTGCCACAAAGCCACCTTTAATCGCACGCGGTCCAGGTTTAACCCATGGAAAGTGGTCTAAGGAAATATCAAAATTTGAAGACGACCCATATATCAGATTATTTTTTTTTTAAAGCCATGATGCTTTAAAATACACGCGTGCCATATTCGGCGAAGTTGCTGAGTAGTCAGGAGACGTATTATGGGCTACAGGAAATGGCCTGTTTTAAATCTCATTATTTCTACTCTTTAATTGCTCCGTTAAGTCGGCCTGAATTAATTGTCAATTGTGATAACAGAAATCGGGTCTTGGCTCTAATCCTTACTCTCTCCAACAGTTCATGGAACCTCTGGTGGCGAGATGTTACTTACCTCGCCTGGTATACAGGAGGTCGTTTTCGATCCCGACCCTGATGCCTGTGTCTTTGGAGTGTGCGTATCTCTCCCTGTAGTGCCTTGCATTTGTTCCTCCGGGTCCTCCGGTTTTTCCCCTCCACATTTAGAATCAACACGCTTCGAGTATGCTATGAATTTCCGCACGATGAGCCACTTCGTTGAGCTCCAGTTTGTCATAGCCAGGTCGCTTCTTGTAAAAGAGATTCATGGCTCAGTGGGGCCTTACCTGGTCAAATAAAATAATAGTGCACGAGCGGGCCACGGAGATGCGTGTCTCCATCTCGTCCTCAACCCTCCTCCTTGACCACCACCACCACCTTCATCCAAGGAGTATAAACCATGGTCACGCAAACTCCGGTCATCCTCGCAGCAGCAGCAGCGGATTGTGGCGAACCATCGGAACAAAGATGGGGGTTACCGCATCGCGCGCTTTTGAGATGCGCTTCTGCGGCCGTCTGGAACGGTCCTCCCGAAGCCCACTGGAGCTGCTTTTTGCGTTTAGTTTGCTGTCCATCACCCGCACCTCCAATTAGCGTGGTTGACAACGTACGGCGCGAAAGAAGTCCAACATGCCTTCTCCAAAAGCTGCAGAAGCAAGACTGCAACAACAACAACAACAAAAAGTTTTGGCAAGACAACGCCGGTGGCGGATCTCGCTGCGATTTAATTGCCGTTGCCACGAGGACACTGGATGCAAATTTTCGGCCATGTGCGGATCAAACCCGAACAAGTGACGCAGCCCCCGTGAGGCGGTGATGGCCACGATTGGTGTCTGCGAAAAGTAAAGAGAGCGCGAGTTCGCGTGGTTTGAACGACAGATGTTGGTAGTTTTTTTTCTTTTTTTTTACCCCCACGCATGGACAAACCGATGCCCCGAAGAGGTCGCGAGTGAGCGCCGTGGCAAGTTGCCATCTCCCGGCTGACTTTTCGTTGCTGGGATTGTTTTTTTGCGGGAGACGAAAAGTTGCCCTTTGGTTATCTCGCAAACGATGCCTGCGCCGGATGTGTGTGTCTGTGTATAAAGTAAACGGCAGCGCTATAACGGTATCAATAATTCACGTGGACAAGCGGCATTCCTTAACCTCGCTGGAGAGAGAGAGAGAGAGCTGCGTCCTTACGACAAAACAAAAACTGGCCGAGTCAGCTCGTTTGTGTCCGAATGTGTGGATCGCTCTACATTTATGGACAGTGACGAAAGTGCGCCTTTGTATGTACGTATGTTGATCTTCTTTCGCACCGTACGTTGTCAACCGTGCTGTTATCAGAGGTGCGCACGGGGGTGGGGGGGGGGGGGGGTCAACAAACTGAACCCACAATCGGTTATAAAGAAATGAATTTTATCAATCTAGATCAGTGGTTCTTAACCTGGGGAGGGGGGGGCATACACACCCTGGTAGTGCGAGATGCCCTTCCTGAGAAACAAAGTGGTGGGGAGGGGGGGGTGCAGGCTGACTTAAAGGCGAAGATCCACTGATCTAGATGATTGATTTAAAAGTGCCATAGCTCCCAGCGGCTTCCGAATATCCGGAAGCGAGAGCGTTCCGGACGGGCCGCAATAATCGCACGTGACAGCGCTGGGATGCCGGTAGCCACCGCCTTTGTTCCGATGGCCGAGCCACAATCGGCCGCCGCCACTGCTGCTGCCAATTAAGAGCCGAGTTTGCGTGGTGATGGTGGTTCCGGCTCCTTGCTCTGCCCACCGACATGAAACCCCTGTGCCGGAGAGATCTGCAACCAGGGTGTGGAAACCCCCACATCCATCCATTCATTCACTGCCGCAAATCGCATTTTGTTTTTCTTATCATGCCTCGATATCCTTGGGGGATCTGCAGATAAGTGAATAATGATTCGCCTGTCTCCCCCTCCCTGCCCCCCCCCCCTCGTGGAAAGTACGATCCGGAGATTGGAGTGTGATGGATAAGACGGCCTCCGTTGCTTTATTGTTAAACAGACCTCGGTTACAAGTGAGGTACAGTTTCATTTGTGTTTACACGCAAACCCAACGCAATAACACTGTGTGTGTGGCCTTGCGAGGAATAAAATATATGATTATGTATTGTATTATAATAGGCGACGATTGGGGCAAGAGTCATCAGCACGCCATTTATAGATTTCTGATTAAATAGTTAAATTGCAAATTAAAGTGCTGTTTTTCGTTAATTGAATTCCTGTATTTGCAAATTTACAGCATTTGAAAAACTATACATATAGCATGACCATCGGTGTTACATCTTTTTTTTTGTAACGAATTCATTAAATGCACCTCAGCTCGTGTTAAAAAGTGATACGGTCAAATAATCGTCGGCAGTGTCCTATGCGCTGCTAGACGAAGCCCTCTCCACATCGTCATAATCCTCATCCCTTACGATCTTGCGATGGCACAATCCATCTCCGCCTAGGGTCGTTCCTCCTGGCGTGCTCCCCTTCCCAGGCTCTCATTCTGTCCCCAGTCGTGTCCATTGTCCTGCTGTCCAAGTCCACTTTACTCCTCTTAAGCCTTTCCCGTTCCGAGACGGCTGCCAGTTGCAGGGCGGGTGTCCCGCTCACCCCCGAATCTCGGAACGCGTGAGCGGTTCGGCGTTGGTTTCATTTCATTTCGAGAGGCCTAGTAGTGCCGCTGTTTTTAAAGACGTAGTGTACTCACCGCAGACAACTGTGGAGACGCGAGCGCAACAATAGCTGGCGCCAAACTGTGCCACACGCTCCCTCCCGCGTGGCCTTTTACTTTGTCGGAGCGTACACACACGTACGTCATAGGACGTACGTGTGTGTATGACGTACCCGACGTCATAGGACGTACGTGTACGTCATCGGAACGTACGTACACGTCATCGGAACGGACGTGTACGTCATCAGATATGCAAATCTAGATATACAAACCTAGATATGCAAACCTAGATATGCAAACCTAGATTTGCAAACCTAGATTTGCAAACCTAGATTTGCAAACCTAGATATACAAACCTAGATATATTAACCTAGATATACTAAACCGTATTGGATTTTGCAGTTGAATCCCTCTGGCAATAATTTCCTTTTTGATTACTTGACTTTTGTTCCGATAGTTTGTCTTTTTTAACCCCAATGTGTCATGGTTTTTGTTGTTGTTAAACCCATCAATAATTTTACGTCGTTTATTGCCATTTGTTATTTTAACGGCGAATCTGAAATGGTTAATACTTTTAACATTTTATATATTTTTGCATTTGTGGCACAATCCTCTTGCCTGACTCATTTTTTTTATGTCCACTTCATTACTTCGTACAGTCGTACAATAATAGGGTTTTTCCCATTTGTTCTGGCAATAAAACTGAAACCTTCTTACAAGGATTCATGTCTGCATTAACCACAATACCTGCAAGTCAAAATGCAAACAAAAAAACATACTATGATAATATATGCATTGTCCTTGAAACTGATTGGTCCACACCAAGGGACGGCTTTCTTTTGAGCCTCGACCCAATTGGTGCTCGACCAGATGACGCCTTTTGGCGTACAATCTCATTGCAGCTGTTCCATCTTTATACACGGTTTGGATAATTTCTCGCAAATGTTTTATTATTATTAGGTGCTTTGGCGAGAGCTTAAATGTGATTGCAATATATCAGTTTTCCCCCC